ATTTGGGTAGACGGTGCCTTTAAAGGCAGTGCGGCAAAACTCAACTCAGGATTTTAACGCATTAGGTTGCTTATCGCCCAAGCATGGAAACAGTGCAATCCCAGTTGCGCACCATGCCTTCCCTGCCGAGAAAATTCTTCTCAAAATTATACGCGCAAGCCAATCTTACATCCGCTCGAACGAGTTGGCAACTTCCTTATCACTGCTGGAGGCTGCCCACCGCAATGCTATAACTATTGGGTCCGGCAACGATTTAGCGTCATCAGCCTACATTGGAAAACGGTCGTTTTCGCCAATTTCAAGCTCTCTAAAGTGGATTTTCGGGATCAACTCATTGGATAACCCAGGTAAGCGAGAATTTGATCAGACTGAAATTTGCCAAGCCACTGCCTTCAATACCTATCAAATCCCGTGAGCGCAACTGCATTTACACATGCTTCTGTGCCTCCAGCGATAGCTCGCCGAGCCCAGCCATGACGGACAGAACGAAAAGCATTCCCTAAAATAACTTTCATTTTTGCAGAGCTTCACCACATAAGGCCCAACCTAAGCAATGTAAGCCCGTGGCACAAGCTGTTGTGGCACTTTCAGCTCCACCCATCAAACCATATCTGAGATTAATTTTTGCAGGAGCGTATTTATAGTCTGCTAAAGTGTAGGCACCCACTTCATAGCTACATATCCAGCCGGCATGTTGGTTAGGATTTTTGGCACGAAGTATGGTGAAACTCTTCTAGAAAAGAGAAAATAAAATCGCCGGAATTACACCTCAAATTCATTTTGTATACAAACCTTGATTTGCCACCTTGCACCAACCCTGCTGTTTTGTATATCTCCATAAGATCTGCCACTCCTGTACCAATATTTACTAATGTGTCTTTGTGGTCCAGATTTTCCGCCTTCGACGAAGACATCGCCTGAGAAAACAATTTATGAGCCTCAAATGATGATAGTTCGGCTTCCTCTTGGAGAATACCTCATCAGCAGCTAATAAGGCTAGTTGACTAGCCCGACTCATTTCTCGCTTCTGTCCAGCATTCCATCGGTCAAAATCCGCTGATCCTTCAGGAATCGCACCAACCTGAGAAATTAGCACCATTTGCTTTGATTTTTCTAAGCTAGCCGACTGAAAGAGAACAACGTAAAGATGTAACGTAAAGCGTAAGGATACTTCTTTAACAAGTTGACTGACGATTTGAAATCATACCAGGGCACTGTCAGTCCTCTTAGCATTTTAAAACTGCGAACTCCATTCAAGCTCATTTGGAATGAACGGAAGTCCAGACGTTTGTACAGATAAAAAATTCCCAGAATGATTTAATGTTCAGCAAAAATTGAGTTACCACGAATCCAAGTTGCTCCGAGAATTTCAAGGCAGATCGGCCTTCCATTAGGCCTTTGGTCAGGGCAGCTATTCCTGCACCATATGGCGTCACTGCGCCCATACCGGTGACTACCACCCGGTACATCTTGGTCTTCTGAAGTATTTTGTGTACTACTGCTGTAAACACACTACCTAGAACTCTGCTGATAACCAGACTGAACAAAAGCACACAGCATGCCATACACTGTTTATTTCCATTTTTTTTTTGACAAACAGCAGCAAAACAATAACA